AACGTAAAATTCTATACATACCTTGCAAATCAATAATTTTTGAATTGTCGTTTGTGAAATGATATACACAATCTATTTTCTTAACTTTACTTTCATCAGTAGATGTTTCATTGAATATAAAACCATGTTTATCTGAAATTCATAAATAATACATATAAAAGCAAAATATGCTAATTAGAAAAGATACAATAAATTTATATTACCAGAACCCTCTAAAATTTTTATAGTCAATTTTCATTCTTAAGGATTGAAAATTAAGTCATTCTTTTTTAAAACTGGCTCAATTTTCACTTTTTTGAGTATAAGATTCCACTCCACAGATTTTAGAGAAATGCAGGTAATATAATCAGTTTTAAAGAAAAAAAAAATTTTTGATATGTTTCATACATGTCACGAAGAAATATCAATGCATATAATAGCATTCAAACATATAATTTATGTCATAAATACCTTGTAATTCAACAATCCTTATATCATCATTCATGTTATCATCATGTGTACTGTCTAATAGATCTATACTTTCATTAGTAGACATTAAATTAAATGCAACATCACGTTTTTCTAAAATACATACATATATATATATATATATATACACACATACTCACAGGTTAATAAAATAACAGTAGAACATATTAGCATATTGATATCAGAAAAAATTTAGTAGATATAATCAAGATTTAATAGATCTATATATCACTTTTAAGCTTTTAGCAATATAAATTGCCAGAGGCTCAGAAATTATATTATTAATCTAATTAAATGGGAGAAAACCTATTCTTATTATATTCCTATTCCTATCCTGTACTTCTTTCTTAATCCTATTCCAATCCTATTCCTATTCTTATCCTATATTTCTTATGTGAATTTCGTATCATTGATATAATTAATTTTACATTTACCTTCAATTTCTGTTTCAGTCATATTCGATGTGAATATGACTGGTGCATTTTTCATAAGATGTGGTGCAATATTCAGTATATCAAGATCAATAGTAGCTTCTATTTCCTCTGGTCCTCCACCAGTTGCTAAACGTGATTGTTTCTCTTTAGTTAAGGCCTCTCTTTGCGATTGTTTTAGATTTGCCCATAATTTTTTTAATTGTTGGTACAGATCTCTATAATAAAAATGTTATATAACTTAGTATATTAAAAAGTATGTAATATCACAGAGAAACCTTCTGATATTATATTATAAATTATAGTTGTTACCTCTTCACAGATTAGTGCTGAATGATTGTATTCTGTACATATCTCACTCCATGCTATATCTTTATCTTTCAGTGTTGTAGCATCACTTTTTTTAATTTCTATTACATTTTTATATTTATCCAGTATCTGTAAAAATACTTTTCTTTCCATCATAGTGTAATGTTTGTTTCTGCTCGAAGTAAGCTTTTCTTTGCACGACATTCTCTGTAAATAAGCATGTTGATAATTTAATCATATTCTGATGTAGCGAATTATATAAGTATCAATTATATACGTACCAATGAGTATTCATAAACAATTATACAAATAAGTAATGATAAAATTATATCAAGTACACTAGTCTAACAATCATCAAACAACCTTTAAAAAAACCTTCACAAACCTTAGCAAATCCAATCGTAACTTTATCTGTATTTTAAGTTGCAATATCGCAACATTTATCCGCGCTGGTAAGCTCACTGATGGCCACCAAAAAAAAAGAAGATCGTTCAGTTGCTATACAGATCGTTGCGTAGCAACCGAACGGTGTGAATAGAAACGGTAATGAAGGATATCCACCATCACCGACGAGCATTCCATTTAATTTGCGTTTTCTGTACCGCATATAAATGCGTGAATTCTGGAATATGCGTCTATCATACTCACTTCCTGGCCATTCTGGGACAATGTCTAATATTTCAGTACGCGGTCAGACAATAACCTACAAAAATCAAAATAATTACAATTACAAAAAAAGAAAATGTCTATAAAAAAATTTTACATCTTAAATATAATTGATATACAATATATTGAAAGTTTAAAATTTAATAATGGATTAAATAAATAAATAGTATAAATAAACAACTTTTTTTCATAATGTAAATAAATTGAACTTCTTAAATAATAATTTTTAATAGAAATAAGTATTAATTTGCATTGTTTAATATTTAATATATACCTGAACATTTAAAGAAAAGTATCCTTTTCGATTGCGATATACCTCATCAATATTTTGTAATCTTGTATGACTTAACCGAATATGTGTGCAATCTATTGCTCCATCAATCGAGGGAAGACCTATAGCTCCAGGATCACGTCCAAGTTCTTCGAATAAACGTTTGTTTTCAGAGCATGCTTGATCAGATGTTGGCATTTTTATATATCTATTTATGTTACTTGCTATTAAACAAGAAACTCGTGCAATAATTCTTGATATTGTAGACTGTGAAACTTGTATCACATCACCCATAACGAGCTGTAAAATTTTTATATTTGTAATTTTTTTATTTGTATATATAATTATATTGTATATATAATGAATTAACCTGAAAACTTGCTGTTGCATAAAACCTTAAACAGATCAATAACTGTAAGACAGGAGCTACAGGTAATCCACGGTTATTAATTTTTGCCAGTCCTTCCTCCACTAATGGTAAAATACCGAACATAACAGAATCCTTGGAAAATCTAAATCTTCTTTTAAATTCATTTTCATTAAAAAATTCAAATGGATTTGGTGCTTCACGAATGTATCGCTTTGGTGCACGTATCAGTATTTCTTCGTAGTTCTTCTTCTGCTTCATCATTTAAAAAATTAATATCTTGAATTTCTTGAATTTCAAGATGACCACTAAATGACCAATAGATGACCTTGCACTTATAGTAAATAAAAAATACTCCCTTTATGAGTCAATGTTGCTTCGAAATTTAATAACCTTCAACATTTCCTATAAATATATTTTTCTTAATGAGTTTAAAATGTATTTCGTTTAACTTCTTTTACACAAGAATATTAATTACAAGTAAAATACTTACGCACAATTAAGGCATATCTATTACCAGCACTCTTATCACGTTTGACAATGTAATGTTCGAGTCCTACAAGCCATGATTATAATTTTTCTTTGAGAACTTGCAAATACAAATGTCCACCTAATAAACACTCTTGCATCATCACAGCATCCACACCTTCAACGGCGCATTTGTTATTTGCGAAAGCAAACAGTCTTTCAGTCATAAATACAAGTAAATGGAATTTATCGATAGGTTCACCAAGATGAATAGCGATACAATACCTATACGATAAAATGTAATGATATATATAATATAGAAAATTATACATTTAACATAAATTAGGAAAATTAATGAAATTCAAACTCACTTAATGATATAACCACAAACATCTACATCAGTTGCATCTGTAGGTAATTCAAGAGAATTTGACTTTATACATCTTTCCTATACAAGCTTTACTTTGTTTGTGCTAGTGTAGATCTTATTCGTGCACCGCATGTAACATATTTCTGATGTTATTCTTGTAATAAAGATCCATTCCATTTAATCTGCGTTCTCTGTACCGTATATGTATGCGTTAGTTCTGGAATATGCGGCTATCATGCTCACTTCTACTGTAGTGATTAGTTCTATCTAAAAAGTCTTTCAATTAAAACATTTCGCATGATAAGGCCGTCTCCAGGCTGCCAATGAGCCTGAGGCACAGGAACTTCATCGTTTATATCGTCGACTCCTTCTTCTTTCAAATTATCATTAAAAATTAATGATAAATCATGCAACACAGCTCATGCCACAATAATGATTGTAAATGTTAATAGCTTTGTGCTCAGTCCTTTTGATAAGCATGGAAATCTGCGTTTTATAATCCCAAAAACTCTCTCGAGAATTCTTCTTGTCCTCCCATGGATCATGTTGTACCTATAAAAAATATAAATACATGTACGTGTATGTGTGTATGATCATGATGTTGCGTATGTGCGTGCGTGTATATGTGTTATAATTATAGAAAAATACAAACCTTATTTCTTCGTCGGTATTAGGATTAATAATCGGTGTGAGCAGAAACGGTAACGAAGGATATCCACCATCACCGATGAGCATTCCATTTAATCTACGTTCTCTGTACCGCATATATATACGTGAGTTCTGGAATATGTGCCTATCATGCTTACTTCCTGGCCATTCTGGGACATTTTTTATTTTCGATTGCGATATACCTCATCAATATTTTGTAACCTTGTATGAATTAACCGAATGTGTGCAATCTGTCGCTCCATCAATCGAGGGAAGACCTATAGCTCCAGGACCACGTCCAAGTTCTTCGAATAAACGTTTGTTTTCAGAACATGCTTGATCAGATGTCGGCATTTTTATATATCTGTTTATTTTACTTGCTATTAAACAAGAAACTAGTGAAATAATTTTTGATATTGTGAACTGTGAAACTTGTATCACATCTCCCATAACAGATCAATAACTATAAGACAGGAGCTATAGGTAATCCACGGTTATTAATTTTTGCCAGTCCTTCCTCCACTAATGGTAAAATACCGAACATAACAGAATTCTTGGAAAATCTAAATCTTCTTTTAAATTCATTTTCATTAAAAAATTCAAATGAATTTGGTGCTTCACGAATGTACCGCTTTGGTGCACGTATTAGTATTTATACGTATTCTTCTTCTGCTTTATCATTAAAATTTAATATCCTGAATTTCTTGAATTTCAAGATGACCACTAAATGACCAATAGATGACCTTGCACTTACAGTAGATAAAAAATACTCCCTTTATGAGTCAATGTTACTTCAAAATTTAATAACCTTCAACATTTCCTATAAATATATTTTTCTTAATGAGTTTAAAATGTATTTCGTTTAACTTCTTTTACACAAGAATATTAATTACAAATAAAATACTTACGCACAATTAAGGCATATCTATTACCAGCATCACGTTTGACAATATAATGTTTGAGTCCTACAAGCCATGATTATAATTTTTCTTTGAGAACTTGCAAATACAAATGTCCACCCAATAAACACTCTTGCATCATCACAGCATCCACACCTTCAACGGCGCATTTGTTATTTGCGAAAGCAAACAGTCCTTAAGTCATAAATACAAGTAAATGTAATTTATCGATAGGTTCATCAAGATAAATAGCGATACAATATCTATATGGATCCTCACAGTAGTTATCATTATCTGAGTTTGAATTGTTTATTATGTCATCGAAGCACTTCCAGGTATCATCGCGTATTTCAGTAAAATTTTTTTTCTACGAGAACTAATATTACTTTGTGTATTGTTTATATCTTCGATGACAGTATTATTTATATCTTCGACGACTGTATTATTTATTTCAAGTAATTCAGTAATGATCCATTGCCTGGCTTTATTTTCATCTGACAAAATCTTTATTTTGAATCTTGGACGTAAAACGGTAACTAGTACAAAATATTTTCGATCTTTGAATCCTATATAACAATAAAAAATTAATTTATATTAAATAATTAACATTGTAAATATAATAATAAAAAATAATAAATATTACAACAATACCTGCAGAATTGAACAATCGTTCTTCCATTGCTTTTTTGAGATCTTCCTTTAACATTACTATTCCAGCATCTTTTTGTCATTTTGTAAGATACAAATGCAAATAGAATAAAAATTGCTGGAATAACATACCAAATTGTCTCACAATCAGAACTTAATATTTTAGTTATTTCTTCAAATGGTTGGAGAACACGTAAAACTCTACTATACTCCATTGCATAACTGTAAGGGTTGGTATATCTCTGTCCGCAGCATGTGCAGTTATTGCTTGTCGTTGTTCATGAAGATTTGACAACATATAAAATGTAGAATTTCATCGTGTTGTATCATCGTAAATTAATTTATGATTTGGCAATTTCAAAGTTTTCTGGATGCTACTGAGTTTCGAGTAAGCAAGTGAAGACTGATTAAAATGTTCAATAATTTTCTGACATTTTCTTAAAATGTGAATGAACTTTTGATTTTTAAAAATACAATTATGAATTATAAATTGTAAAGTGTGAATAACACATTCTATATTCTCTCCTAATATACCTGCAAGATACATAATATTATTAATTAAATATAATTTAAAATTAAGAGTATATCAATTACTTTAAAAATATATTCTTTAATGAGTGCATTCAGTATTACAATCGTACCTGAGTGCTCCGTGAGTTCTTACATCTAATTAGTATATATTTCATTAAATCTAAAAATATAGACCAAACAAATGTAGGAATTCACTGAATGTTCACACTCATGTAAATGAATGATTGTAGTATTAAATGCATCCAATGTAATATAATGTTTGAGTCCTACAAACCATGAATATAATTTTTCTTTGAGACCTTGCAAATACAAATGTCCACCAATAAACACTCTTGCATCATCACAGCATCCACACCTTCAACGGCGCATTTGTTATTTGCGAAAGCAAACAGTCTTTTAGTCATAAATACAAGTAAATGGAATTTATTGATAGGTTCATCAAGATGAATAGCGATAAAATATCTGTATGATAAAATGTAATGATATATATAATATAGAAAATTACACATTAACATAAATTAGGAAAATTAATGAGATTCGAACTTACTTAATGATACGATCACAAACATCTACATCAGTTGCATCTGTAGGTAATTCTGAGAATTTGACTTTATACATCTTTTTCCTATACAAGCTTTACATTGTTTGTGCCAGTGTAGATCTTCTTCATGCACCACATGTAACATATTTACGATGCTGTTCTTATAATAAAGATCATCCTCGATCAGTTACGTCTATCAAACATTTTAATATCAGATATATTAATGGCACAACATACGTAGTTTTCTTGTATGTAAATGCAAGTTTTGCAGAATAATCTGTGCAGTGTATTGTTCTGTAAAGAGACACACACTGATAATATATTAACATGTTAAGAAAATAAAAAATATTTCATGTAAAAAATTCCATTCAGATACATACAATTGAAGAGTTGTCCTCCCGAACACTTCGCAAAAGAATACCCATCTCGATGAAATGATCATCATAACGTTTCCAAGTTGGTCTCTTAATAGCAATGGGATAGTTTTGTCTCGTCATTATTAACATACGTACAAGTCGTTCTAAACCTTCGATTATAAAGTATCCACCCTATTCTTGTTCATGTTCGCTGCGGTCGGATGGTTTTTCGGAACTCCTTCCACTCCTTCTTCTTCTTAATTTAGTTGCCGGTTCCGTTATAAACTGGATTAACGTGGCCAGTAGTACCAAAAGGAAACTATTTGCGTCAAAAAATATGTAGATGTGAAACCAAAGTGGGTGATGCAATGCCCGCGAAAACGGCGTTGCTCGAACGGTATCCGAATGCCTGCGTCTACGGCGTCGTCACACCGTAATAACGCGCGTCATGGGAGTGGTCCAAAGATGCAAAACGATGAACAAACGAAATGAGCCCATCCGCGGACCCATATCAATATGATACAATGCACAGTCGAAGTCGGCAACACTTTCAAAAACATACAATAGAAAGCACCCGATCCGAAACGCGTCCGTAACGGTCGGGTGATTTGTCGGAACTGGTCGGAACTCCTCCTTCCACTCCGTGGATTCTTCGAAACTGAGCACTGGTTAAAGCTCGATCAAGAATGGCACATTCTAAAATTTTACAGAACGTTACGTTACGTGAGGGAAACCCTTAAAAACGTGCAAATTTATTACTAACCTTGCAATCACTTTTACTTGAGTCGTCTTCGTTCTCG